GAGAGAGAGAGATAGAAAGAGGGAGAGAGATAGATAGATAGATAGATAGATAGATAGATAGATAGATAGATAGATAGAGGGAGAGAGAGAGATAGATAGATAGACAGATAGATAGATAGATAGATAGACAGATAGATAGACAGATAGATAGATAGATAGACAGATAGATAGACAGACAGATAGATAGATAGATAGATAGATTATCTGTTCAACAGTAATGTTACTCCAAACTCACTCGGTCACAGCGTGACGTCATTGACCACTCCTCGACATGTAGCCCTCGACCCTGAAGTAAATAAATCCTCTCGCGGATATTTTTGATCCCTTTAATCAAAACTCATTGGATGAAACCAAAAACTGTGAGATCGCAAACCGAATAAAAAACAAACAAATGAACAAATGAAACCAACAACAGGTTGTCGCGTTGCCGTCGCCATGACGTCAGTGGCATGACCTCGCCTGATTGGTCGTCACCACGCAGCGGAGGTTCCTGCTTCCTGTTTCAGATCGGATCGGGGACAACAGAGCAGGTGAGCAGAAAAACACAACACATACATGACATGAGACACACAGCGATCAGACCCTGAGCGGGACGATCTGAGTGGATGACCGCTTTGTCATCGCCACGTAAAACACGACTACATGTTTCTAGCTAGCAGAGCTTACATGCTATGGGAGATGTTGCTGTCACCATCACCACGGTCAAAACACACAGAAGAGAATGAGTGATTATCTGTATCGGTCCCACCAAACATAAAAAGCATAAAAAGCAATCCCTCCATTTTCTATACCACTTATCCTATTTTGGGGGTAGCAGGGGGAGGAGGAGTCAATCCCAGCTGACAGTGGGTGAGAGGCGGTGTACACCCTGCACAGGTCACCAGCGTTTCATAGGGCAACATATAGAGACCTAAGGACCATTTAAAGTCTCCAATTAATCTAACCCCAATCTCAATGTGCTTGGACTGTGAGAGGAAGCTGAAGTACAAGGGAGAAAACAAATAGGCACTGTGAGAGGAAGCTGAAGTACAAGGAAAAAAACAATATGCAAAGTTAATATGAAAATATTATTCTGACACAGAGTCTGACTTAAACATTGAAAGATCAACAGAAAGTTTCAAGCTTAGACCTTTCTGCTGAAAAGTATAATTAACAAATAATTGTTATAAGATTATAATCAATAATGTATGAATGTAACATAGAAGACAAGAATGTAAAATAAAGAGAGCAAGGAAGATGCTCAGATCCGTCTAAATATTAGTGAAGGAAGAACTCGCTCACACTCACCCCATAATGGAAATCCTGCATTACAGGAAATGCAGTTTTTGGAAAGGGACTAAACTGATGATAAACTGGGGTAAACTTTGAGATTTGAGTATCAGGCTCAGAGCATATAAACTGTGTAATAGTCTGAGAGCAGCAGCAGGTAGCAGCATCAAGATCAGTCTGTTCAGCAGCGCATACAAATACACTAATAAATCAGATGCTGATTTTTTAATTCCAGATCGTACGGCATTATGAGTCAGCGGACAGAGCGCCGGGGGATACATGTGGACCAATCAGACCTGCTGTGCAAAAAGGGATGTGGTTACTACGGCAACGCAGCATGGCAGGGTCTGTGCTCCAAGTGCTGGAGGGAGGAGTATCAGCGGGTACGGCAGAAGCAGATCCAGGACGACTGGGCCTTAGCAGAAAAGTAAGGCTCTTACTTGTCAATGACACTGTATTCATTTGACAATATACAATAACATTATTTGCCAGTTTGGCTGTGTAAAATTGATTACTAACATTTTCTCCGTCCTAGGTTGCAACGGGAGGAGGAGGCAGCGTATGCCAGCAGTCAAGGGGTGCAGTCCCAGCCCCACGCCCAGTCCACAGCATCACACCCAGGACACGTCTCCCTAGGTCCCTTTTCCAAGTTTGAGGAGAAGAAAACCAATGAGAAGACTCGAAAAGTGACCACTGTTAAGAAGTTCTTCAGCCCTTCATCACGCACCACCTCCAAGAAAGGTATAAAGTTACAGAATGGTGTTGTAACAATTAGTTTTACTGAGAATTATTCAGAAGATTCATGACTCACTTTCTGTCCAGGTTATTTGAGTTATTTAAGTAGACATAGACTGTGGTTTTCCTCCTCAGAAGCACAAGAGGGCAAATCACCCAGCCCGTCAATTAGCCGCCAAGCCAGCTTCGATACAGACCAAGTGTCCAAGGACTTTGTGGACTTTTTGAAGAATCTCCAAAAGACCGGCAGGGAGATCCATAAGCAGTGTCGAGCCTTCATAGTCAACATGTCGAGCAAGAAGGTTTGTTGTGTTCAGAAATCAGTCAGTGACTTGAAATCTAGTCGCGTGATAATTAACTGTTAAATGTTTTTCATGACTGAGGCCTCATTTCCCAAAAAGCACCTTTAGTTTAAGTTGATCATAAAAATTGATTTACGAAATTTCCTAAGGTTAATAAGGTTTTTCCCAAAACGTTTTGTCTTGACAGGATCTCGGTGCCGATGAACTTTCAGAGTGCGTTCAGGATTTCTACCAGAACATGGCTGACCGCTTGATGAGTCACTTTAAAGGTTTGACGAGACAATTATGTTTAGAAAACATTGACGAATTTCCCATTTGGCTGTTAGTTCCACAGCATCTTATTGTAGGATTATATTGTAATATGATGTTTATATAATGTTACCCAAAGTGAACCAGACTAAACGTATGTGACCTCTTAAATCAGGCTTTTCCATTTGACTACATGCTGTGTGGACTCAATGTGTCGTGCCCACTAGGTGGCAGCACAGGCAGGATTTTCCACTCTAGTGTTAAAAATGTGACTGGTCCGATTTATGTGTTGTTCACCAGGCTCTTCAGATTCTGTGGAGCAGGTGATGGACCAAGTGGAAAAGTACATAATGACTCGATTGTATAAGAGCGTGTTCTGTCCAGAAACCACTGATGACGAGAAGAAGGATCTGGCCACACAGAACAGGATAAGGTGGGCACCCCTTATTTCCATGATAAAAATACAGTATTAATAAAGGGAAGTGAAAGAACACACAACACACATATTCAGACTGGATACATTTTGTCTGAGAGTTTTAGTGCACAAAGCTTCTCAGTCTTTAAAAACTTCATTCTGAGTGTATTTGTGCACTTGATAGCCAGTTCTTCAGGTTTTTCTTGCATGTGAATGCACAGTAGCAACTGACAATAAATATTGTGTATGGTTACGTCATATTCCCCCAAAACAGCTTTAGGAGCGCTCCAATGTTTATTATGTTGTTCCTTTATGTTGCAGGGCTTTACACTGGGTGACCATACAGATGCTCTGTGTGTCCATGGATGAAGAAATCCCTGAAGTCTCTGAGAATGTGGTCAACGCAATAACAGGTCAAAGAGAATGCCCAAGTTCCAGTGTGACTGCAGTCAGTCAAAGAGATATTTTTTACCACATATACATATCATATGTGGACCAGGATGTATTTGCGTTGACACAGTGAAAAGAATGTGGCCATATGCGTCCCAGACCACCTCTGATTGTGGTCTGAGTGATCGGGTCTCAGGATGTATTTGGGTGTGTTCAGACCTGTACTTACAGCTGTCCACTTGTGATTGGATCACTCAGGATGGAAGTAAATACCAATGTCTGGATGAGGTCTAATAGTTTCAGCTCTAGAAATGAGAAATAAGTATATTTTTAGTCATTTGGGTGAGCTGACCCTTTATTGTTGTTGTTTTTTAGGAAACTGAAGATACATAAATCTCTGACCTATACTGCGTGTATTTATCTCTGACTCTTGCAGATGTCATCGAGATGGACTCGAAGAGGGTTCCTCGGGACAAACTTGCGTGCATTACACGCTGCAGTAAACACATCTTCAGCGCCATTAGGATCACCAAGAATGAGCCGGCCTCCGCTGATGACTTTCTCCCTGCGCTCATTTACATCGTGCTCAAGGCGAACCCTCCGCGACTTCAGTCCAACATCCAGTACATCACTCGCTTCTGTAACCCCAGCAGGCTGATGACCGGAGAGGATGGATATTACTTCACCAACTTGGTCAGTTTTTCTTTTGTCCTCTTCTTCTACTTCAGTTCTTGTCAGAGCCGGTTTGAGCTGGAGGCCTCTTGTTTCACAGTGGTGCTGTTTGTGCAAACCCATGGCTGATGGGACAGGGAAAAGTTCCTATTGTGCTACTATAGTTTAGCATCATCTGTAAAATTTAAATCTATTAAAATCATTCATAGTCCCTTTAGCTGGTGAAAGAAAACCTGAGGCAGAAAACTCACATCATCAGCATAAAATCAATATTTTACCAAAGTTTAAACAATTTTAGTGTTTAAATTTACAAAACTTTGCAGGTTAAAGCTTTTAAATTGTGAGGATTTGCTGTTTTCTTAGTCTTATTGTTGGCTGAATATTTTTGGAGTGATTCAAACAAGCTATTTGAATACATAACATACATAAGGTTTAAGGAAATTATTATTTTTACTAAGACAAGCCGACAAATCAATTACTCCAACAGAGCTTTGCTAGCTGTTTCATTTTGTCATTACCATTATTTTCAGTTGGCATGACTTTTTGTTTTAGTGCTGTGCAGCGGCCTTCATCGAGAAGTTGGACGCTCAGTCTCTCAACCTCTCCCCAGAGGAATTTGAGCGCTACATGTCAGGCCAAGCTTCACCACGATTCAGCACCTCAGACGGCGACTGGCCCCACGCTGGCTCGGCACCTGACGTGACCGCCACCAACCCCGCCCTGGCTCAGCTCAATCACAATCTGGAGCTGCTGTCGGGCCTCAGCAGCAAGCAGGAGAAGCTGATGGAGGCCGCTCAGAGCCTGCAGGCCGACCTCCTCGCCTGGCCCGAGAGCGTGCAACGCGAGGTGCACGGCATCCTGGAGAAATACCCTCTGGAGATTCTGTCTTGCACAGTTTCTGCCATCGATGCCAACAACTTGGACAATGACAACCTGCCACCACCGCTCACACCCCAGGTGTTTGCTGGGTAGTGGAGTCTCCAGAGGGAGGAAGGTACTCTTGCTAAAGTCAGCTAACTACCTGTGTTTTGAGTTTGATGGTAACATCCCACATGCAACCATCTCCAGTGTAGTTTGCAGCTGAGTTGCTTCTGCACCTTAAAGGCTCAGTGTCGTAAATCACTCCTTATATCATTTATGGTACGCTCTTTTTATTTTAATATTTCCACTATAAATTGCCCTTATACAATGCAAAGGTAGTATAAGTAGCGTATTCTGCAACTGTAATTGAGTGCCTAATATATATGGAGTAGTGGATGAATGACTGATTTCAGACAGAGCCTCAGTCACACCAGCATTATAAACAGTAACATTTCACACTATATATTTCAATATAATCACAGTGGTCAGTGGATATCCTCAAAAGGAAAAGTTGATTTGCACCGGTGTTACCAGATGTACGCTAATTACCGTATTTGTATGATCATTTTTTCCTTCGTACGATCAATAATGCACAATGTACGATAATTTATATTGGACTTGGACATGCAGTTAAAAAGCAGTCTGTGCTAATTAAGCTAAATAGGAAAATCACACTCTACTTCTTTAATTCTCCTGTCGGAGTTTAAAGTCACTCAAGAAATACGTGAGGTTGTTAATTACTTGACTGAGCTATTGTGACAGTTAGCAAGCTAGCTAGCTAAAAGTGATGATAGTTGCTCAGTAAAACTTGGGCTTTCTTGAACTTGTATTTGACTCATAATCTGTGACGGTAACACTAACAATCCTGTTTGCTTCCACACCTTTGTGTCACCTCACAGTTGGACTGGTTTGAGCATTTATATATTGATATATTTATACATATATTACATAGGTTTGGGCATTAATAGCAACCCAATCCTCTAACAAGCTGCTTCTTTCATCACATCTGCCAAAGGTCACCGTTTTCACTTTTTGTGTTTCTAACGTGTCATTATAGGAACGTTACTCCTTTTCTTGCTCTGTTTAATATTTTTATGTTGCAACTGAAATCCAGCTGTACAAGAAATAGAGGAAACACAGAATAAGTCTGTCAACTTGTTGAAGTGAAATATCAAATGAACCTAAAAAGCTCCTTCAGTTTTATTTTTATGTTTCAACATTGTTCTGAGTTTTAAAAAATGTAGTGCATTTGGTTAGGGTTTCATTACTTTTGTTTCTAAAGTGAGTCTGTGTTATAAGTCAGAAAGCATCTTATACTCTAAGTCCTGCTTTTAAGATATTCATTTTGTTGTTTTGTGATGTTCAGTGTAATATTGAATGTAACAGCATGCTGTTGTTGTCGTCTGACTGCTGCCCTATCACTGTCAAAATGTATAATGTCACTATTAATTCTAGTGAAGGGACAACTGAACTTTCAAGTTAGGTTACAGTTAATCACCATACTCAACTGCAAAGAGAACTAAAGCTCTGTGTGATCACATCATGTGAGTTTTAACAAATCCAGACACTGGCAGGATGATATTTCCTTTAGCTAAGTAGGTTTTTAACGTGGATTTATGTTTTCTCCCTTTTTAAATCTAAAATAAAATATCTGAAAGTGCAGCACACTCTTTATTTATAAAAGGGAAACTGAGTAGAGTAAAAACTATGAGTACCATACCATATATATGAATGTTTTATTTATAAGTTGAGGAGACATAAAGAATGAGGCTGATGATGTTAAAAATGAGCAATTAATTGATCCTAATGATGTGTATTTTGTACTTTGTAGCCAGAGCTTGATATATATAATTCCTCTGTGCCATTGATTGACAACTATTTGTCATTTCTGAGGCTGAAAACTGTCCCCAAAGCCCATTTACTCCTGTTTGAGGGACATCTGCTAAAAACTACAATGCCCATCTGTTAAAGAAAAACAATGAGCCTTTCTTTTGAAACTGAATTTATATTTGTGACCTGTTTTTATAGATTTACAACTTCCATAGAAATCATGTGAGCTAATCTGGGCTGGGTTATGGCAAACAGGGGACTAATGGACTAACAAATTCTTGGTTTTGGTCTTTTCATTCGATTTGTTGACAAGAAAATCTAGAATAATGTCAGTCTTATCTTTCAAAAAATATTGTGAAATACAAATCTACCAAAATCTCAAACATTTCATGGATATGATAAAAAAGTTAACACTACCTGAATCCACTGGAAAACTATTGCATTTTCATGACTGAAACAAAGAAGAGAGTGAAATTAAACAAATGACTATAGTCTCTGTGGCAGGTTAACTGTAGAAATACAGTATATACATACAATATACAATACGTTATACTGTGTCTCTTTTGTTTGGTAAATGTAACAGAGACATATTTCCTATAATATGATTAACTGTATAATAATAATAACCTCTTTGGTAAATATGGACCATTTTCTTAACTGTATTTGTCATCAGCTCACATTTGTCTAACAACAGGATACAATTCAGATAAGTTAATTTTACTAATGAAACCACTGTACTTTTACTGAAGTAGGAGTTTGACTTCTGAAGTGTGGCACAAGTAAAGCATCTCAGTGCTTTTTCCGACACTGAAAACCATATACCACATCTGAGAGCCGTGATAATCACATTAACAAGGTTGGTTTATAAAGAAAAAAGCTTCATCATCATAATAAGCAGTTTACTGTTTATTCATGTTTCATACTGCTGGGTGACGTGAGGGATTTCAGGAGACTGGAATAGTGACTAACATTCTCCACTAGAGGCCTCCGATGTGCAAATGTGACTAAATGCAATTTTAAAGGGCCATTGTCTGAAGTCACAATGCTGTAAACAGCGAGTCATGGCTTCCGAGGAATAGTATCATAGTCATGTGGCACTACCTTAAGCTAACACCTATCATTTGGGGAAGAATATTTCATTGGTTTAAACTAGAGTTTGCATCCATTGAGATGTGAGTTTTTCTTACAACATTATCGTCTTACAGTATATATACAATACAAGATAAATTAACTGCAGATAATGTTTATACATGCTTATATATATATATATATATTTGAAAAAAACAAATAATGAAAGCTTTATACATACAGTAAGGCATAGAATATATACAGAACTATCCTAAAGGAATTAGTATCAAACATTTGTCAAATATTCACACCGCAACAAAACAAAGAATTCAAAACATTTGATAGTATATACAAAAATACTTATACAAATGCCCCTAGGAATATTTTAATAGAAAAAATAATAGGAATCTCATCAGGAGGACATCACATTATATTTGAAACATGCACTTGCCGCGAAGGGGTTTCAGTTCAGCGGTGGGCCACATGTCAAGATGTTTAGTTGTTTTTGGGGTAAATGAATCACTGAGATAAAGCGGATCTTGGTGCAGGATACTTGGTCTACTGTGCTCATTGGTCCTCAGATTCTCACCAGTGCTCTACAAGCTTGTGTGGTCATCCCAAACGGGAGGCGTAGAATACAGTCTTATAATCTCATATGGACTTCAAACTTGCCATCTTTCCCTCCTCTGTCACATCGGCTACACTTTGGACTCGCTCTCTATGTTGGCAATGTCCCCGTTTCGCTCAGTCTGCTGGCTCTTACCCTCGCTGTCCGGGCTGGTCTTGGTCTCCTGACCCTCCTGCTCGGACTCCTGCAGCCCCTGCTGACTCAGCTTGCTGGCCAGTGACCAGGTCAGTGGCAGGCGGGTGCGGTTTGTCATGTCAGCAAGCTCTCTGGCACTGCAGGTGGGTGTGTTGGTCTCGTAGATGTCGTGGAAGCTGTTGTAGTCCACCTCGTAGAAGCCGTCCTCTAATGTCAGGACTGGTGTGAAGCGGTAGCCCCACTTGATCTCTCTGCTGACGTATGAGCTCCTCGCCTGGCACGTCATGCCTGGAAACACAGCACAACAATTTATGGGAAAAATCTAGTTTGGGCCAACTCATAGTTTGGGGGTTTTTTTGTCCAGATTTTGTCTCTCAGCTTTCTACCTCTGTCCAAGTACACTGGTTTGCCTGGAATTTAATTTGTTGTGCTCACCCAGTCTGTCAACATGATGAAGTATAATAATGTTCCTAATGGATTCATTGAGCTATGCTGCTACAGTGTTTATGCCTTTATTGATTCATGTCTTGCCCCTTTAGCACCATTACCAGTATGTAGAATCAGCTGTTAGAAGTTTCTCTGTACATTATACTGCACAACTATCAATTAATCACTTTGATACTGAAGAAAACTTAAAATGAAACATATATGGTTAATATTTTTATGTGATGTTCTCTGTAAGTGTAATCCTCACTGAATCTAGGAATATGTGTGACTGAAAGGGAGCAACCTACAAAATGTTTATCACTCATTAATGGTCTGTGTGGGTTCACCAGCAGACCACACTACAATAACTGTACTTCCTGTTATTTCAGAACATCTCTACACACATTCCTTTTCTTCCAGTGTCAAGATTTTAAGCTGCCGGTTTTACAGAAATCACAGCACATTGCTGTTTCAAGCATTTCTCTGCAAAATGGCGACAGTTTTGTTTCCTCAATATCCGGAAATGAAGCCAAAATATCATGGACACGAATGCCACCATCTGTTTGTCGTACAGCTCAGCTTTGAATGTTAACAGTTATTGGACGGATTGAAATCTAAACTAAGCTGTGAATGACTGTGCATTTTGACATAAATGTCCCCCTCAGAATGTAGTACAATATTTTCAAATGATGTAAAGTAGAAGTAGCATGGAATGAAAATAGGGTAGTACAAGTGCCTCAAATATACACTTAAATACATTATTTGAGTAAATATACCTAGTTTCATTTGAGCACTGCTTCATGTTTAGATGTGTATCATTGTGTGCTCTGGCTCAGCTGTCTGCAGGAGTCCTCTATGGTTCTCGAGCATCGGCTTCTAAACACGCCACCCAGGCATTATGTAATTGGTTCATTTTTTTATGGCTGACACAAATGATTACATACCAGTTCCTTGTAGATATGCACCACAATCTTATCTAAAATACCAGCATATATTTTAATTTAGGCTAAATTATTTGGTTAATACAAAGCACACAACTAAAATAAAACACAAAACTAAGTTATTATAGTTAATCAGATAAACCAAATTTCATCACAATCTATTTAATATTTGTCAAAACTCCTAATGCTGTATATTCTGTAATATGGTTAAATAGGCTGCTAAAGTCATTTGATTAAAGTGTAGAAAAAATATCAAAGCTATTAAATTACAATTTAACAATATGAATCTGTAATTATCACAAATAAGTGAATGACTGTACAAATGCCAGTCACCCAGTAGCTTTTGAGATATGTCTCAGGATAAGTGAGGGGGTCAGCACAGTCAATATGATTCATCCTCAGAGAACCATGAATGTCTGTGTAAAATTATACAGCTATCTATCAAATACTTGTTGAGACATTTTTCATTCTGGTCCAAGAGAGTCAGACACTAAAATTATTGCAACTGAAATCATCAGTTAAAACAAGAACACTACGTTATCCTACTTATTGACAGGGATGTAGGTCTGTGCTCACCAAAAATTAGTTAGTAAGGTATAGTAACAATATATATTTCCCTGTCCAAAATTTAATAACATTTGCTGTACCATTGCAATCTATGTATTATAACGCCACAAATATAATACCTAGCCAGAAAGTGTCTGACTATATGAATATGAATTACTCACCTGTGGCCTCTACCATCCCCTCCAGAATCACCACTATCTCCAGGTCCTCTTTGGACAGGTGGGCTTGTGAGATATCCCAGAAGGGGCTGTTCTGGTTTATCTCGTGGCAGATGATGAGCGGTGACACCAGGAAAAGCCTGTCGTCCCCTGTGTTGTAACCCACATTCATGTCCGTCTGGTTCAAAGGGATGAACTCCCCTTCCTTGGTCTGCTTAGACTTGATAAGCTTGGCCCTGATTGACGCCTCCACGATGTGCGAGTTTCGGAGGTCTCCGACTCTGAACATCAGGCACAGTCGTCCATCTCTCATTGAGATGACCGCATTGGTAGAAAACACTAGAGTCTCAGCTCGCTTCTTGGGCTGAGAGATCTTGACAAACATGCAACCCACCATGAAGGCATTCACGATAGATCCCAGCACCGACTGAATTAAAAGCAGAAGTATCCCCTCAGGGCATTTGTCTGTGATGACTCTATACCCATAACCAATGGTGGTCTCTGTCTCAATGGAGAAGAGAAAAGCTGTTACAAACCCGTTGAGGTTATTGACACATGGAGTCCACTGATTGTCTGCTATATGGTCCAGATCACCCCGGAGGTAAGCAATAAGCCACCACATGAAGCCAAAGAAGAGCCATGTCACTGTGTACACCAACACGAAGATGAAGAGGTTGAGCCCCCATTTGAGGTCTACGAGCGTGGTGAAAATGTCCGTCAGATACCGGTATGTCTCTCGAACATTACCCTGGTGGACGTTGCACTTCCCGTCTTTCTGGACGTAGCGCTGAATCTTCTTTGCCCTGTCCATGTCTGCCAGCTGTTTAGGCAGGTTCTCACGGGCCTGCTTTGGCAACTTGGGCTGTTTGATGATGGCTGGGCTCTCCACATCCTGCTCCATGGGGTTTCTCGGTTGATTCAGGCCTGTGAGAGAGGAAACATTTGTATTAGTTAGCAAGTGCTGATGATGGAGAATTACAGAGACTGTAGGCAAGGAAAGAAAGTTACTAGATATATGAAATCAAGTACTACTTAAGAACAAACTTGAACTTTGTCTGAGTATTTTGAGTATGTATATATTTCTATCTTAATGAACTGTTTTCTATTACACAATAAAACCATATTGTTAAAACAATGTTAATTTCAAAGATTCAATAACCAAATCAACTATATAAAAAAAGTCACTTGGCTCAGACTGCTACTCTGGGGGGAAAAAGTGTTTTTACACCAAAATTGAGTCAACATTATTGCTTCAGATTGTTTTTATAGAAACTTGTCCATAGTGAAACATGTACATGTTCTGTTTCTGTTGTAAGAGAACTGCACAAGTATGAAACAATGATTTCAGAAACACTACATAATAAGCAGCACTCATTCCCAAGCTGCTGCTTGTTCTAATGAAATCGTTATTTCAGAATCCCAACATTGTTTGATAGAGTAATCATAGATTCAGTTGAATGACAACAGCTACATTGACATTTAAAGTGAACAATCACAGAGAAAGTTACAGAAGTTGGGTAATCTTTAAAGCCACACAGCCTCTGATCTGTTACTGAGAGGCTTTCACCATCACCCTGAAA